GTAGGTTCTATTTCACTCTGTTAAATGTTTGTTTCTTCCTTGTGTTCATGTTTTGAATCTTCCTTATTTTGGTCTTGAATATTCATTTGTTCAAAGAGAATTTTCAATCCTACACCAATAGTAATACCTTTATCATGATTAAAAGAATTAGTTTCATAAAAAATGACATGTAAGATTCTTCAACGACTAGAGTTCTTTTGTTAAAAACTCTATAAGTTAAATATCCTATAAAGATTCTAATATCGAATTTTGAATCAAATTTTTACATATTTTCTTTTGTGATTAAAATAAAGCATTTGCAACCAAATATTTTGAAGTAACTAATATTTAAAATTCTATTTTTCCAAAACTCATAGAGAGTTTTAGTTTTCTTTCGACTAACTAAAACTCTATTTACAATATAGCAAGTGATGTTGACGAATTCGGCCCAAAAATAGTTTGGCATGCTATTTTCATTTAGCATGGTCCTAGTCATTTCTTGCAATGTGGGATTTTTCTTTCTACTNTTCTAATATCAGATTTCGAATCAAATTTTTCCAAGGTCTCTTTTGTGTTCAAAATAAAACATTTGCAACCAAATACTTTAAAATAACCGATATTTGGAATTCTATTTTTCCAAAACTCATAGGGAGTTTTAGTTTTCTTTCGACTAACTAAAACTCTATTAACAATATAGTAAGCGGTGTTAAGGGCTTCAACCCGAAGTATTTTGGCATGTTATTTTAATTAAGCATGGTGCTAGCGATTTTTTGCAACGTGAGATTCTTCATTTCTACTACACCATTTTGTTGGGAAGTTCTGGAGTGAAGAAATTATGTTTATATCAATTTTCATTACAAAAATAATTAAAAGTGATATTATCAAATTCTTCATCATAATCAATTCTAATAATTGTAATAATGTATTCTTTTTCATTTTGAACATTTTTACAAAAATGTTAAAATACATTCAAAACTTGATCTTTCAAATTTAAGAATAGCACCCAAGTAAATGTAGAAAAATTGCCAATAATAACGAATGCATAATATTTACTATCCAAGTTAGAGGTTCGATCTAGAATGTCCCAAAAAGTTTACATGGAGTAGTTGTAGTAGTTTTATAATTGAAGAGTGTGGTTTAGGTTTAAAATAACTTTTCACTTGTTTTCCAAATTGACAAGTATCACAAGTTTTATCTTTATCAAACTTCAAATTTGACAAACATTTGACAAAATAATTTTTATAAATTTTTAATATGAGATTCATGCTAACATGACATAATCTCATATGCCACAACCAAGTATCCTCGTTTAAAAATTGATAAAAAATTACTTTCAAATTCGATATTTATAATATAAACATTTTTACTTTGACTTTCTATAAATATCACTTATTTTGATGTAGTATCTTAATAAAACATTTAGAAAAATCAAATTTAATATGAAATCCTTTATCATATAATTGACTAATATTAAACAAATTATATTTGAAATTATCTACCAATAAAATATTTTCAATTGAAGGAGAATAATGATTGATAATGTTTTCCAATGATTTCCTTTTGCATTATCCCCGATGTGATAATTCCAATGACTTCCATCATTCTTTTTGAAGTTTTATAGTAACATTCTATCTCTGCTCATATATTTTGGGCATCCACTATTCAAAAATCATTTGCTTTTCATCTACAAAAAATACTTTAATTCTTGATTTTTGGTACCCACACAAATTCGGGCAATTGGCGAATAGTTTTAGTGGACTCTCAAATCTACTTGTTCTCACTTTCAAAGTGTAGCCTCTTTTTTGTAAGACAACTACAAGTAATATATCCATCTTTATTGCAAAAACTACATGTAGTGTTGAAAAGAGAGGTGTTAGATGCTTTGACATAAATTTTTGAAAGATTTTTGCTTCAAGAATGATTTATATATGATTCCCCCCTTGTCAAAAATACACTTTTGATCACCAAACATTAAATTAAAGTTATTCTTACCTTAAGTCAATTTACAAATAATGTTAGTTAAATCTTCTACCTTTTTTTTTAAAGAGGATTTTTCTTTAATCAATGAATTCTAATCAATATTTTCCTTTTTAAGATCATTTCGAGTTTCTAAAATTTTCTTCATTTCATTTTTCAACAAGTAGCCTTTTTTTATGAATGGAATGATTTAAGGTAACCTTTTCAAATTTCTCAAGAATTTCATCATAGGAGGTACATAAATCATCATATGAATATTTTTTTTTCAATAGGGTTTACCTCATCTTCGAAACACATGTTGGCGACTTCTTCTTGATTATCATTTTTTATCGCGATTATCATCGTCGCTTTCATCCCACGTTACTTGGAGTGCCTTTTTGTTGATACTCCTTTTCTTGTTTGAGCACTTAGTTCTCTTGCGGCCATATTTGTCAAATCATAGCAAATGATTTTATTGTTTCTTTCTCTGCCCTTTTCTTCTTTCTTTTAGAATTTCTGATTATTTCGAAAACCTCTCCATTTTTTGACAAGAAGAACTAGATCATCAAACTCTTCATCACTCATATTTTCACTTGTAGTTCATTCTTCAATTGCCGATTTTAAAACTATTTGGCGCTTAGGAAGATCCTTCAATTCATCTTTGCTTTTCCTTGTTTTCTCAATTTCGCCGTTATTGAGCTCATAAGTCATCAAGATTCCATAAAATTCTTTCATTGAATATAAGTTGATAGCTTTGGTATTCTCTATCAATATACTTAATAAGTTTCAATCTTTTGATAATGATCTAAGCATTTTACTTACAAACTCACCATTAGTAAATTTACGATCAAAATCTTTGTGGTCATTAACAATATCGGTAAAACGAGTAATCATGTTAACAAAAGGTTCATCTTATTTCATGAATAATTTTTCAATTTTTTTAACCAAAAGATTAATGTTGATTTCCTTTACTTTACAAGTACTAACACGAGTAATTTCTAATGCATGCTAAATATCATACGTGGAATCGCACGTGCTAATACGATTAAATGCATTTCTATTTAAGGCACAATAAAGTAGATTTTTGGCTCAAACATTTAAAGATAATTTTCTTTTATCTTCTTCTTCATACTCTCCTCTAAATTTTGGAATGGTCTGATCGGATTTGCCATCAACTTTAATAATCTTTGTAAGCACATAAGAACCATATTCAATAACTTCCCAAATATTATAATCTATTAATTAAATGTAAATCATTATCATAACTTTCCAATAATTATAATGTGTGCCATCAAATAAGAGGTGACGATTTTTAGAATGCCCTTCAAGATTTTGAAGATTGTAGTTAGCCATTACTCAAAATTATGAAATCTTTTAATTTTAACATTTAATTCCTTTTTCTGATACAAATTAATAGCCCAAAAATAACTAATAAAAAGGGGGTGAAGGTACAACGCTTTAATTTTCTCGCGCATAAAAATTTGTTCATTGAACTTTCAATGATTTATTGTTAAATATTAAAGCATTGTACCTTTACACATTGAGTGCATAACATTTTAATCTAATATCTTCGATGTTTGACCATTGAAATTCTTTGCTTGAGTGATTTGTCGTGAATGCTTGGCTTCAATCTTGATTTTTATTGATCGTCCGATACCAATAATTTGGTAGTGATCTTTTTGTCCTGAATCGATGAAATTTGCAACAATAGCTATAAAGACTTGAATTTAATTGTTAGAAATAAAATCAATTTTTTTGTTATGATCAAAACATGAAGTCAACTATATGTCAATAAAAATGGTTCAGAAAAACTTCAAACCAAATCAAATAATTAGCAAATGCAAACGACACCAATTCTCTATTTACCGGAAAACCCAACAACATTTAGTCAAGATTTTTCTAATATGAAACAATTTGGAAAAGAAATATAAATTATAGACAATGGGAAGGGGTGGCAATGGGGGAAGACCATTATCATCCCCGTGCCGTCGAGAAGTGCGGCGCGATTGACAGGTCGTGAGAATTAAAAAAAAAAAAAAAAATATTTATCATCCCGTTTATTTAATAAATTTTTAATTTTATTATTTGAAAATTTGAAAA